GCAGCTAAAAATGTTGTTCACCCACCTTTCTGAAGAGACCTAGATTCCATTCTCCTCTTTCCACCTCCCATCTTTCTTGAGAGGAGGCAGCTTTCTTTCTGACCCGTCAGGGCAGCCTTCAAGAGCCCCTCTGGTCTCTCTCGGCCCCCTGACTCTGAGCTGCAGCCACCCCGGAGCCCCCCCTGCACTCCTAGGCCCTGTTGCCCTGGGCTCTGCTGCCACTCTAGCTGCCTTTCAACCTCTTCTGGGGAAGGGGAAGGTTATAAGTGTGAGTGGGCTGCCAAGTGCCCAAATTTTGGTCACATGACTGGGGCAGCGCTGCAATGGCTTTAACTTTGGGATGATGGCAAGTCACTTTCTTCAGCGCCATCGTGTTTTTGAACTATTGCTGAACAAATGATCATAAGTCGAGGGGAACCTGCAGCGGGGGGTGGGATTCTACCGGTTCAGACCGGTTCGAGTGAACCGGATGTTAAAGTTACACCTGTAAAGTTTGCCAAAGTGGTATTTCAACTGACCGGCTGGCCCCACCCACCCCACCCCTCCCAGGAGTCTCCACATGATGCAGGTAAGGGCGGGGTCTGCGTGGAGGCTCTGGGAGGGGGAAAAAGAGACTTCGGGAAGTTCCAGGAGTCCAGAAACGGGCCTGTTTCCGGCTTCCATCAGGCCTCCAGAGCCCGGGAGAGGCTGTTTTCACCCTCCCAGAGGCCCGGGGGAGATTTCCGGACCCTTGGGATGGCAAAAAACGGCTGTACCGGAAGTCGCAAAATGGGCCTGTTTCCGGCTTCCGGTGGGCCTCCAGTGTCCTGGGGGGGGCATTTTTGCCCTCCCAGAGGCCTTGGGAAAGCCTCTGGACCCTTGGGAGGGCAAAAACAGCCGCCCCCAGGCTCTAGAGGCCCTCTGGAAACAGAAAGTGCTGGTAGGCCACACCCACCCAGCAACCGGGCAACGAACCGGTTGCTGGGATTTTTGAATCCCCCCCCCCCCGCCTTCAGCTGTTTGTTGGCCCCTGTCTGGTGATCTTTGCTCATCTCACTTTATTCCTTACTCTTGAAAAAGTTGTTCTCAAGCAGCATCCGCTTAACTTGGGAGTGTTGTTTATTCTGCTTGCTTTCTATTAGCTTTTTTTGTGTGGATGTTTTTATCATGGTTTTCGTTCTTTACATTTTGCACTAGCTGCTTTTTTAGTGTTTAAAGTGATATACATGTGAAAGGCAAGATACCAGTTTCTACATGTTTATTTGTATGTTGCCCATCTCACACTAGAAAGTGGCTGTGGGTAGATAAATGTATTTATATTGCATTTATATATTATATGTTATGTTTATAAATAAAAACTGGACATTTTAATGCAATTGACAGTAGAATATCAAAACAGTTGCAAATTTTTTTTATCTTTCGTGCACTCATGATGCAATGTGCATCAGTTCATTAAAGTCATACATATTTTGCATAAATTACATCAGGAATAATTTCAGTTGTATTGATGACTTACATGCTGAATGTCCTAGAACACAGGTGTCAAACTTGCCACGTCATGTTGCCATCACGATGTTTCATGATATTTTCCCCCTTCATGGAGCTGGGGTGGGCGTGGCTTGCGTATGACGCATTTGGCCTGCAGGCCGCCAGTTCGACACCCCTGTTCTAGAAAACACTTCTTCAACCTGGCAGTTGTTCGTGATTCCATTTTTTAATCGAATGCACTGCAGTCATCAGGAAGTTGCTAATAGTCAAAAGGTTGAGGAGGCAGATAAAACACAACGGGCTGTTTCCCAGGAGAGGATTATGAATGAATTGATTGAAGGTGGGGCCAAGAGCTGGCCATGTTTTATGAATGAGTTTGTAGAAAATGAGATGTTTCATTAAGGATGTTTGGGCTGAAACTCGGGGAAACCGTTTCTATTGTTCTGAAATGTTAACAAACTCAGTTAATCAGTGTTGTGCTCAGATTCTGGAAGTTGGAGGAGGGTAGCGAAAAGCTGCCCAAAGACCCTAGAAAAATTGTTGGCATGATCAAGACACTAATTCAAGGAACATGGGGTTGAACTGAAACAGGGAGGATCAATACTTACTCTGTGGGACTGAGCCCTAGTCCAAACACTAGGTAATATTTCCTTGGTGATTTTCTATAGATCAAAAACACTGCTCAAAAAAATAAAGGGAACATTTAAACAACACAATGTAACTCCAAGTCAATCACACTTCTGTGAAATCAAACTGTCCACTTAGGTAGCAACACTGATTGACAATCAATTTCACATGCTGTTGTGCAAATGGAATAGACAACAGGTGGAAAGCAGAGGCAGTTAGCAAGACACCCCCAATAAAGGAGTGGTTCTGCAGGTGGTGACCACAGACCACTTCTCAGGTCCTATGCTTTCTGGCTGATGGTTTGGTCACTTTTGAATGCTGGCGGTGCTGTCACTCTAGTGGTAGCATGAGACAGACTCTACAACCCACACATGTGGCTCAGGTAGTGCAGCTCATCCAGGATGGCACATCAGTGAGAGCTGTGGCAAGAAGGTTTGCTGTGCCTGTCAGCATAGTGTCCAGAGCATGGAGGCGCTACCAGGAGACAGGCCAGTACATCAGGAGACGTGGAGGAGGCCGTAGGAGGGCAACAACCCAGCATCAGGACCGCTACCTCCGCCTTTGTGCAAGAAGGGACAGGAGGAGCACTGCCAGAGCCCTGCAAAATGACCTCCAGCGGGCCACAAATGTGCATGTGGCTGCTCAAACGGTCAGAAACAGACTCCATGAGTGTGGTATGAGGGCCCGACATCCACAGGTGGGGGTTGTGCTTACAGCCCAACACTGCGCAGGACATTTGGCATTTGCCAGAGAACAACAACATTGACAAATTTGCCACTGGCGCTCTTCACAGATGAATGCAGGTTCACACTGAGCGCATGTGACAGACGTGACAGGGTCTAGAGACACCGTAGAGAACGTTCTGCTGCCTGCAACATCCTCCAGCATGACCGGTTTGGCAGTGGGTCAGTAATAGTGTGGGGTGGCATTTCTTTAGGGGGCTGCACAGCCCTCCATGCGCTCACCAGAGGTAGCCTGACTGCCATTAGGTACCGAGATGAGATCCTCAGACCCCTTGTGAGACCATATGCTGGTGCGGTTGGCCCTGGGTTCCTCGTAATGCAAGACAATGCTAGACCTCATGTGGCTGGAGTGTGTCAGCAGTTCCTGCAAGACAAAGGCATTGATGCTATGGACTGGCCCGCCCATTCCCCAGACCTGAATCCAATTGAGCACATCTGGGACATCATGTCTCGCTCCATCCACCAACAGTTGCACCACAGACTGTCCAGGAGTTGGGGGGATGCTTTAGTCCAAGTGTGGGAGGAGATCCCTCAGGAGACCATCCGCCACCTCATCAGGAGCATGCCCAGGCATTGTAGGGAGGTCATACAGGCACATGGAGGCCACACACACTACTGAGCCTCATTTTGACTTGTTTTAAGGACATTACATCAAAGTTGGATCAGCCTGTAGTGTTTTTTTCCCACTTTAATTTTGAGTGTAACTCCAAATCCAGACCTCCATGGGTTGCTAAATTTGATTTTCATTGATAATTTTTGTGTGATTTTGTTGTCAGCACATTCAACTATGTAATGAACCAAGTATTTAATAAGAATATTTCATTCATTCAGATCTAGGATGTCTTATTTTTGTGTTCCCTTTATTTTTTTGAGCAGTATATTATATTTTCATTTTGGGAAGTTGTTTGCACAGAATTTTAAAAACTTCCCATTACTTCTGAATTACTAAAACTAGGATTTTTAATATCAACATTTTAATCCATTTGATTTACTGTTTTGGGATACCTTGTGCTGATTGTCCAAGAGATGTTGCTGCCATGTGATGGACAATGTGGGTTCTCCTTTGCCAGAGGTCTTCAGAAAGGTTAGGCGGCCATCTGCCAAAGAACTTCAAAATGGATCTTGTATTGAGCAGAGGGTAGAGGATGGATTACACGACCTCTGTGGCCCTTCCAATTTGGTGATTCTGTTCTCTTTATAACTAGAAGGACTTTCTTTCTAATCCTAGTTTCGCAATATGAGGGATTACCCTCTAGTATACATATGGCAAGAAAATATAATAGGAAGAGAACTAACAGATTATCCTCTCTACCTCTGGTAATACTAGAACTTAGATTTTGCCTGTTTCTAGACAAATGTAATAAATTCATAAAATTAGTACCATTTTCTGATTTTCCAATAGGCTACTATAAGCTATAAGATTTCCTGGTGGCCTCCCATCCATATCCTAACTAGATGTGGTCCTACCGAGCTTTTGAGATCAGCCAAGGTAGCCTAACAAGCCACATAAGAATTCTGACACATCTTTGAGTATCCCCCCCTCAGTATCAGTGATGGGCAGATAGGAAGAAGCGATACTGTATCCAAAAGGAGAGAAATTTAAAGTGACCCCCCCCCCCCCCCAAAAGGAAGAATAAACAGAAAAAAGCTAATCAGGGAAATTCCTGTCCGATGTCCAGTTTCCTTGCCTTGTCAGCTGAGGACATCCAACTCCAGTGAAAAGCCAGCATGGAAGCCCCTCCTCCTTGTCCCCCCATGTCAAGACGAAAATAAAAGCAATAGCTGGCAAGAAAACCAACTTGCTCCTGAAATAAGTGACTCCTTGGCAAAAATAACGAATTCCCATGTGAGTTTAGCAGCCATGCTCACTCATGCACAGCAGCACGTAGGTATAAGCATGTTCATACCCACCTCGCTCGCTCGCTCCCTCCAGCAGAGCAGAAAAAGATGGAAAGAGAAAGACGGGAAAGAGGAGGGAAAAAAGTGGGAGAAGAAATTAAAAGTGTACCCCAGGGGTTGGAGGCATTTGCACCCCGTGGCCCTTCTGTGGGAATGTCATGTTTTCCTTTAAATAAGAGACCTGCAGGACGCTCGTGGAGAGGGGGGTCTGCAGACCGTTAACAAGGTCTAATGTGCCTTCTGCTTTTTTTTTTGTCTCCAAAGGTATTTGTATCAAGTGTGGAAAGGGGGTATATGGGGCCAGCCAAGCTTGCCAGGCCATGGGGAACCTTTACCATACCAACTGCTTTACATGCTGCTCTTGTGGTAAGTTCCACATTTATCCTTGGACAATTCTTAAGTTCTCGTGCCCCTGTGAAAAACTGAACCCTGCCAGTCCTGATGGTTTGGTCTGAGTTTTGATTAGTGCAAAAAGCCTTATTGTGAGAAGGAAGGGGGAGATCGTGTAGAAGGTGTGCCGAGGGGTTAAGTGGTGTGCAAAAGTTATGATTTCGCCAGAAATGGGAAAGGAAGGACGGCATAGCTGTGGCGAGACAAAGCGGCAAAATATGTATCACAATATCTTGCATTTTGTACTTGTCCGTGTCCATGGGACAGAAGTACTAAGGAACAGAGCAGAGCTTGCATCGTTACATGCTGAGCAGGGGTGGGATTCTACCGGTTCAGACCGGTTCTATAGAACCGGTTGTTACGATTCTGCGCAGTTCGGAGAACCAGCCAATCGTGCCCCTGGCTGGCCCCGCCCCTCTCCACCCGCTCCTCCCCACCCAGTCAGCCCTTATTGCACATGGACGACATTACGCGCATGCCTGACATTGCTGACTGCATCCTCCCCCGCCCAGTCACTCCTTACAGTATTCCTTTATTTCTTTTGTCCTCCCGACGCTATGCCAGGATCTCCCTCGCTGTCTTACTGCTTCACCCAGGAGGCCAAAAAATGGAGCACGGAGGGGTGCTGCGCCCCACACAGTGCTCCGTTTTTGGCCTCCAGGAAACCACCTGGAAGCAGAAGCAGCCTCTCAGGAGGCCAAAAAAACAGAGCGCTGGGGCGTGCTGCAAAAAAGGCCACACCCACCCAGTCACATGGCCACGCCCACCTAACCACGCCCACCTAGCCACGCCCACGGAACCAGTAGTAAAAATTTAAATGGTATGTAGATGTTGTTCAACATTTTCTTTTATTGATAGATTTGGGTTTCTTGTTGAAAAATGTGGATTGCTTGGTAAGAGAACATTTTAGTCCTGTGTAGCCTTTGGCCAGTTTTTCTCTGCCTTCCACACAGAATGCTTATTTTTTGCAATGATCTGTATACAGACAACTTTTTTAAAAGAATGCTCTTCTACTCCCTTCCCCCACATTTCTTCCCACTGCCCAGAACTTATATTTTTAACATTCTTTGGATGCTAAAAAAAAAAAGATCTCCAGCGGCTGTGGGAATCAAAACAATGTGGGACCCAAATGCCCCATCTGGCTGATCAGAGCAGCTTGGCATGAAGCCTGCTCAGAATTCCTCCTGTGAAACGGAAGGTTTCCATATGAGGCTGTCCAAAGAAAGTTATCCTTGGAAATCCTTGAAGGAAGGCTGTCGTTGCCCCTCACATGAGCGCCGGGTTTTATTTTTGTTCATTCTTAATGTCACAAAATGGAATTGGATCCATAATCCACAACGTGACGGATGTTAGTTGGTTGTAGCCTCTCTAGCTTTGTCCTTGGCTGATGTGTGTGCTTCTCCAGCTCGCCTTTTAGCCATTTTGACAAGGTGGTTTGAAGGATGTGCTGGATTAGGGAAGAGGGGTACCGTTTGGCGACTTTTCTCTCAGGGTTCATAGCAAGGAATCACAGTCACTCATGATGAAATGGTGGCCAAAAGGTTGTCTATTCCTCTCAAGCTACTGTATGCTTTCAGGGACAGTGCCACGTAAGTCCTCTGGCACTGCAGAATTCCTAGGTCAGGTTCTCAAGTTGATGCTTGACTCATAGGGAAGACGAGATGAGAAGCCTTCAAGTGCACCTAGCGGAAGAGTCCATACTTGTAGGTTTGAAAACTGCCCTGGTGGAAAACTTGGGAAGTAGGGTTCCTATAGAATGTAGTTTGGGGAGTGGGAATAAATCCACACCATGAATACATGTGCAGTCCCTACATATTTTAAGCTTCTGCAGGATTCTTGGATAGGTTCTTGCCCTCTATAGTACGTCCATAGTTCAGGCTAGCTCAGGGTATCAGCAGGCCTCCATTGGTGTTCTCTGTCCTGGGAGGCGTTTTAGGATCTGCAGAAGGAGGTGGGGGTGGTCCAATTAAAAGGCAGCCCAAAGTCTGTGCAGATAGTTAGATCTTGGAGGCCGTCTTCCTAGTAGGGTCCCTTTTGGGGCAGTCATCTTCCTGGTAGGGGTGAACCGGCTTCCTTTTGTCTTTCAAAGACTGGTAGAGCTGCTAAAGGCATTCAGGGGTGCAGGAAATTAGTTCCTGGGATGACCCTGCATAACTTGGGGTTTTGATTAAGGGGGACTTCTCTCTCTCTCTCTCTCTCTCACACACACACACACAAACACACACACCACAAATAGGTGACCTGAGCAATCTAGTCCTGCCGGAGAGTCCCATGCCTATTCCCCCACACGTTTTCAAACAAATCAGTGAAGGTACATGAGCTAAAACTCACTCTAATAAAAAAAGCTGAAATTTTCAAGAAGTTGCACGTGAACCAATCCAATATTTTATGGGATTCCCAATATTAATATTGGCATTGATTTTTTTATATAATTTTATTTAATTATTTTTCTTTAACATCCATAAGTGTTTGGTGGACAATGTATTACCAGTATTGGCAGTGATTGATGTTGTTGAATAAAACAATGTACCTTTTAAGAGATGCTCCAAATACTAACTTTGGTGAATGAATAATAAATATAGGAATTTGATATAAAATATAATCAGTGTAACCACCCCAGATTCTCCTATTCACACCTGTGTGCATTACTTCATTCTTAAAGAGGGATTTTTCCAACCCTTCCGTGTCTTAAGATTAACACCATCTTTACTGAGGACAGAGTGTGCATTGGGGTAGAGCTTTTCAAGGAACAACTTGCATTCTTCGAGGCGTGCATGTATGTGCATGCAGCGAGGTGGGGTGAGGGGGAACAGGGCTGCCTCTCCCATGCTTAAATTGTCAAATTGCAGACTGGGGTGAAATATAACTGAGCAAGTCAGTGACCTCAGCCTCCAAGAATGCTCCTTGTTTATGTAGCGCTCCTGCTAGTTTAGCAGCAAGCCTTTTGTTCTGCGCAGACATGGTAGGCCAGGTTTGTGTTTATTGGCCAGCCAAAAGCTTGTGCGATATGAGATTTGCATCCTAATACTTGTTGTAACAAGACACATGCAGCCCCTCAAAAACACAGCCAGCGCTGGGATCCTTTTACTGTGTCTTGGAGATGGAGAGTGGTTTTTGAAAAGATCGGCTGCAAAAGTTGTGAATGCTTCCTTTTGCAGAACTCTGATAGAAAGAGAGAGAGGGGGGGGAGGGAGGGAAGGAAGGAAGGAAGGAAGGAAGGAAAGAAAGAAAGAAAGAAAGAAAGAAAGAAAGAAAGAAAGAAAGAAAGAAAGAAAGAAAGAAAGAAGAGGGAGGAAGGGGGAGAAAGAAAGAAAGAAAGAAAAGAAAAGAAAAGAAGAAAAAAAGTAAAGAAAAGAAAAAAAGAAAAAAGAAAGAAAGGAGAATTGCACTGGCTTAATTTTGTTTTAAATAGCAACTTTTGCCTCCAGGTTCTGCCTTGATTAGGCAGGAACTTTCTTATTCAGAGGCCTGAGACTTCTAAAGTATTTTGGGGTCTTTTGAGGTACTGAACGACTGGAATGCACACTTGCTGTAGTGCAGGAATTGTGAGAGTGTATACTTTCTCCTCAGGATTGTCTTTCCCTTCACCACAAAAGGCTTTTTTGGCTTGTCGTGGCCTCGTATCTGATGCATCTCCAGTTCCATTTGAAGACACCAGGGTGCTTCTGCATCAAACTTAGCATAAAAGAAAGTGTATATCTGGGGAGAGGCCTTGTTGATGTGGTCCAGGTCCATGAGGAATGTTATTTTTATCTTCCTGTCACCCAGGAATAAGAGCATGTGAAAGAGAAGGAAAAACCTGCAGCAAATGCTTTGCAGACGCCAAAATGTAGTTTCGTCTGTGGAGAAGAATTTGGACACCAGTCGTTTCTCCACAGATTCTCCCCCTTCCTCCTTGCATAAATTGTTTATCAGATACAGTAATAGGAAAGAGGATCAGAGCAGACCAGTTAAGTGTAACCTGGAAAGACTTTGCTCCTTGCCAACACTCTGGTTTTGAGCAGCTTCTGTGCTTTGCTTCCTTTCCTGCCAAAATAGTGGCTTGGTTCTCATATATTCTCAAAGGAATGGAGGGTTTCCCACAGGACAGATTCCTAGCACATTTCCAAAGTTTTAGAGAATTGGTCACTGGGCAGATACCCTTAGATATTTGGCAGCCATGATTTTTATCCTCTATTCTTTCTTCCTGAGGCTAAAGGTCCTTTCATTGTTACTCATAAGATAGTTTGCCACACCCTTCACCATCTTGGTAGCTCTCTTCTGGGATTGCTCCAATTTGTCATAGTCCTTTTTGGAACTCCGGTACCCAGAATTGCATATAAGAATGAGAGAACAATCACTTCAGGTGATCGGAGCCTTAGACTCTTGTTTTTTTTTTTTTAAACCAAATTTTATTAATTTTTAAAGACATACAAAACATAGATACACAAAAACACAAAACATAAAAACATAAAAAATCTCTTTTCTGAAAGTTGCTTAGTCCCGGGTTATAACTCTTGGCACAGACACAAATTCAAATTCATATTCATTTTACATACCATTTCATATCTTATTAACATTTTCAGTTTTCTATATAACTTCTCACTTTTGAATTTTCTCAATTTTATTTTATTTATCTCCTCTCAATTCGAATCATAATATTTATTATTCTTTGTCTGTTCTATTTCCAACCATCCATTTATTTTTCTTCTTTAAAAAAGAAGAAAAACTTCTCCTGTACACTAAATGGAGTATGATGCCTTTATCTCCTTCCCCTATATTTATAATACTTAATATAAAACACATAACTTACATTGGGATTCTGTCTGGTACATTCTAAAATTATACTATATTATCAAAAATAATACAAATCTATTCATTAATATTGATATTCATTTATATCTTAAACATCTAACACATTACTTTTCAGTTAAATCACATACTTTTATGGGAGCACCTATTTTCCATAGTTATTCCCCCCCCCCACCTCACATATT